AAGGTTAAAGTTTATGTGACGGACGGACAGACTGACAGACAGACAGACAGACAGACGGACAGACGGACAGACGGACAGACGAATGAGATTTAATGTCCCCTCGCTTTCGCAAAAGCGGGGGACAAAAATTACTTTTCATTTAACACATTGTAATAATAAAACAATATGTAAATAAAATACCTAAATTCTTAAAAAGAAAAATGCAAAACATCAATGTAAATTAACTTAAGCAATATCTTTTCATTACACAGATTGATGCAAGCATGCATTTAAATTATTATACCCCAGCATGAAAAGCGGGAGGATATAAAATTTAGTAATCGGTATGCCCGTCCGTCTGTTATGCTTTGGTGTACCGGGGCATCTCTTATCCTTTCATACATGTACCACTTAGTGATATTTGATGACTTTCACAGAATCTAGATTACATATTGCAATTGTGCATCTTCTATTTTAATTTTTGATCCGCCACATATTTGGGGTTTCCCATAGCAAAACGTAGACACAGTCATTATATTCAAATGAGAAGTGGTGGGTATTCATACTGTATTTCAGTAGCTACTTTTAGATGGGAAATACTTTAAAAGGGAAAAAAGAAGTACAAATATAAATATTCAAAAATTTTCATAAACTGCATATGTGATTGCTTAATTGTATGTATGTATGTTGATATAATGTCCCTCTCGAAATTTTTTCACATGGAGACGCCACCACTTGCGGATGGAGGGCTACAAATTTTGTCCTATGCTCTGCACTGAGGGACTTTGAGCAGGATCGAGTGATATTTTTTGTGCCAGAACCTATAGCGATACGGAGCCTCAGCAAAATTTGAAATCCTGATTAAATTTCTAAATGCTCTAACTGGCATACGTAATACATTTTGTATTGCTACCATAAATGTGTTCGTGTTTGTATTGTTTTTTTTAACATTTCCTTTTAAATTAGTCTTTGAGACATTAAGTTTTGCTTCCTTTTTCCTTAGAAAATGATATCATTTTAAAGATGGGAAAAAGATAAATCTTCTTTGAAACAGGTATTTTCTTACATAAGAGTTTCTTGTAAGTGAGTTTAACCGAATATTTAATTAAAGAATAAGCAACTGGTCATTCTCAAATAAACTGACTTCTTGTTTATGGCCAGACTCCTTAACTGGTTCTCTGTTTTAGTTGGTATCCTCCCCTGGATGGCCCTGGTGAGGAATGCCTCACTGACCCCCACCAGTTGAGCCACTCTCTTCTTGTCCGGGGAAAGTTTGTCCCACAGACAGTAGAACTTGTACCAGTCCATGTTAGCCCCCAAGTCTAGGGAGTAGATGGGGGTCACGTACAATATATAAATTACACACAAAAGAAACGCAACACCCTACATTAAGTTGAAATAATTATGCTTAGTAATAAAATGTATCTTAAAATTGTGGATATCTTCAATTTGGTAAATATCGGTATTGCTACACATTGAACTGTCTCCATATTTTTCGTCATTTCCCGATAATGACAAAGAGCACACAGTGATGTGACCGGTCGGTATGTGGTGCTTGTTCTTTCATGAAACCTAATCATACTTTTGATAGTTTGGAAGTTGAATTTTGTTATGTTAAATGTACCTTTGAGCTCGAACACTGATCGTTATCCCCACTTATTGTAGTTTGAAAAACATCGCAATGGTTTTAATTTCGCTATGTTGACGATTTATCATTTTCCTAGGAAGTTAAACCCATCGTGAATGTTAATATTAGTTTCTAAAAACTTTTAAAAATTACACAGAATTCTGTATTAATTTCTTTGAGCGTGAAATTAAGACCATCACAATTGATTCCTTTTGAGATTTCGTGAAATCTTGAAACACCTTGTATACATGTATGTACAATTCACATTTCAAAAAGACACATGTAGCACTGCGTCATTATCCTAAGTTTTGGTATTTATAGAATCCCTGAAAAGAAATGTTAATAAATCTGCCACCAAGTATACATTATCTTTACAGAGAATAATGTCAGAATGCTATTTTGAAGTACTTGATTTTTTCCACTTTCTCGCTATAACGATGTTACATTAGGTTGTCTTAAATATCTACACATAACCTCAATATCTCATCTAGTCTGAAAACATCAATAAATCAAAGGAACTGTTCGTCTTCATTTAGTATCGTATTCTGGCTGTCAGTAAATCAAATGATTCCTCGGTAGTATAGGGATGACTAGAGTATCAGCTACCTGACTATGGTAAATTGAACAGATATCCAGGTTCCAGCTCTCACTGAAGCTTTGGTTCATTCACAAGATAAAAACAAGGTTTTACCTTCTCCATCAAACTGAATAGTTTGTTTTTTAGCTCACAATAGGGAATCGAATTTTACATAGAAATATATAGAACAAATCTTTAAAAATCTTCTTCAAGAACCACTGAGCCAGGAAAGCTAAAACTTTTGTAGAAGCATCCTTGGGTAGTGTAAATATTAAATTGTTAAAATCATTACCCCTGGGGTAGGGTGGGCCACAATAGGGATTCCAAGTTTTACATAGAAATATATAGAACAAATCTTTAAAAATCCTCTTCTCAAGAACAACTTGGCCAGGAAAGCTGAAACTAATGTGGAAGCATCTGTGGATAGTGTAGAAATTAAATTGTTACAACCATGACTCCTGGGTGTAGGGCGGGGCCACAGTAGGGATTCCAAGTTTTACATAGAAATATATATAGAACAAGTTTCTTTAAAAATCTTCTCAGGAACCACTGGGCCAGGAAAGCTGAAAGTGATGTAGAAGCATCTTTGGGTAGTTTAGATATTAAATTGTTACAATCATGACTCCTGGGAGTAGGATGGCGCCACAATAGGGAATCGTAGTTTTATATAGAAATATATAAAACAAATCTTTAAAAATTTTCTTCTCAAGAACCACGGGATCAGGAAAGCTGAAACTTATGTAGGAAGCATCCTGGGGTAGTGTAGATTGTAAAGTTTTAAAATCATAAAAGGGAAGGGGGTAGTGGGGCATGGAATGACTATAGCAAGAGGGGGAATCTGGAACTGTATCACCCAAGTTACTCAGGTGACCGATGTGACCAGTGGGCCTCTTGTATTTGTTGAGTCAGACAATTGTTATCATCACTGTAACCATGATAACCAGGTTAACCAGAGGAGGAACTATAGAAATGTTAAGACATCCACCCCTGTTATCTGATCAAATCCTTTTTTAATCTTTCTTTTTGATGATTACAGTTTTATTTCAGGGAAAATATTTAATGAAGAATTAGAACTCCACTCCTCACTGCTATATCCCCTAGATAGTTCTCAGACTTGGGTTGTATCGACTTTGTAGTTTGCCCAGGGGGTTATATAAGTTAAGGCTTTTGTTTTCTCCACCACACATTCAGATTTCTTAATCTCTGAGCAAGCTATGATTGTTAGTACATGTAAATACTTGGTGTTAATTCTTGTGATGTGATGATCTCTGGTTACTTAAGTAGTGATTTGACTGGAGGGCAAAATAAAGCTTCTTGTGTCTTCATTTTTAGCCACTTTCTTCGATTCTGCTTTAATGTGCAATGATGACAGAGAAGCAACCATTTGATGGATATATTTTGTGATCTGAAAAGGATTGATTGATTGTTGTTTAATGTAACTCTCGAGAATTTTTCAATCATGATGAGACGCCACCAAATTGGTTGAAAGCTTGCAAATTCTAGCTTTCAACTGTATGATTTCCTTTTCCTTAGTTTTTTTAAAATAAGACAGGTGTTTTTATTTCATCTAAACAATTTCAGATTTCTAGTGACAATGAACCTAATGTCATTATGCCAGTCTTCTCCTTATTTGCTGACAACCAACTGTTGTCAGTTTCTCATAATATATTTTTAACGTTAATAGCCATTCTCTGTAGGCATTTAACTCTTATATAGGGAAGGTATATAGTCTTTGATTTTTATGAAACTTGGTACACATTCCTATTTTGATGTATGAAACCTTAAACCATCACAAAAATGGTTGCGATGGCGCATGGTTACCATGACAACCCATATACAGTTTCATGGCCAAAAAATCGCTAAATTTTGATGAAAAATGATTTTTTTGACTTATTAAAATTTCTTTAAATTCAACAATGATATTTACATGATAACATCCCCAGTTTTAGGAAGGATTTTTCTTAGGGAAAATTGTAGATTTTAAGTTCTATTCAAAAGCCTGTCATAAATTTTTTCGGACATTTCGGAAAAATTATTCACCTTGGTTTGATTGATTGATTGCATATTGTGTAACGTCCCTCTCGAGAATTTTTTCCTCATACGGAAACGTTAACATCATCGTATGCCGATGAAGTCTTCAAATTTTGACCTTTACTTGGCACTCAGGGCAATTGAGCAGTGAGGGATCTTTATCGTGCCAACGCCTGCCTCTGATATGGGGCCTTGGTTTTTAAGGTTTCGTCCAAGCGCTTGACGAAGGAACAATTGCTACCCATTTTTTATCAACTTAGGTCAGTAGCGGCCGAGATACGAACTCACGACATCCGGATCACGGAGCGAGCTCTCTGCCGACTGAGCTACCGTAAAGGGTACATTGGTTTGAAAGTTCATGTTTAGTTCTACTATAAACTACACAGAACCACTTGATATTCATATCTAGTTTTCGTTTTACCATGGATATAAACTAACACTTTTTTCTAATAATACCAAACAAGGACAACTGCATTTGATACAGTACTTTGAATCTGTTTCATTGATATTAAAACACAAATTATTTTAATTAAATGATCATATTTCGAGATCAGTTTTCCATACCCAAACTACGTACACTGGTAATTGCAGAAGAGCAGAGTGAAATCGATTTTTGATAACCGAAGGAAAACATGCATAAAATGATAAACATCTATTTCTAGTTTTTCATTTTAATTATTCATTTGACACTAGGGAATCATCCCCATACTATCCTTAAATGCCTTTTTTCAAGTAAATACATAGACATAAAGTAGTAAATGAATAGCTGAACACTGTTTTATTTGCATATTTATTAAATCTACAAAACAGGTGGCACATGCGTTCAATGGAACACTTTATTTCTAGTTTGCTTTTTTTTTTGTAATATGTACATCAGCGTTGTCCATCTTGGTTTGTCAGTCTGAAGTTTTTGCTGCAAATATTGGCGAATGATATAAACAATGCAAAATGTCTTTACAACTTTAAATCATGAATGTACGATAGATTATTGCCTGTTCTGTTTGTTAAACAAATAATGCATACAGTATGGTCTTTACAAATCCGAATTATGATTATGGTGTATCCTTCATGTATTTGATTTTTATTAATCTATGACGGTAACATTCAGCAACAAAAAGGTTGTCTCTGGTGTCTACACATAAATCCCATGGATACTGTAGATCACAGTTATCAATGTAACGGAGGAACTCTCCATCCTGGTCTAGGATGTGGATACAGTGGTCAGCACAGTCCGCTGTCAGGATCTGACTTTGGCTGTCTGTGGCGATGCTGTATGGATAAAAGGATTCCTTCAAAGTAGAGGACGGATGACCAGTGTATTTAAATCTGAATTTCCCTGTCCTGTTAACAACTACAATTGAACAGGCTCCCCAGTCTGCCACACAAATATCCAGGTTCCTGTTTTCACATACGTATTTGTAGTAACCGGATGTAAAAAGCGGTTTACCTTTACTATCGAACTGAATGGATTGTTTCTCTGTGGAGCCAGAGTAACGAACAATTTTTGATTGTTCTCCATCAGCACTGTTCATGGTAACCAGGAGGTCACCACAGGAGGTACTGCAGAGATAGTAAGGTATCCATCCTTCTAGCCTGATCACTTCCTTTATTTTTTTATTTTTCACTTTATTTACAGTTTTTGAATCTGGGTCAGTATAAACTAAATCTCCACTCTTTGTCACAGCCATATCACGTGGATGATTCCCAGATTTGGTTTGAATTGACTTCAGAAGTTTGTTATGGAGGTTGTAAAGATTCATGTTTTTGTCTTTCCCACATGTCCAGATTTCTTCATCATTGAGACAGGTAACATTGTAAAGATAATCATATTCGACGTCTACGGTGTTAACGATTTCAGGTTCATCAATGAGTAACTTGACTTGAGAACAGGATACATTTTCAGGTATCTCCATTGTGTAGCCTTGTTTTTCTGTTGTAATGGACAGTGCTGACAGAGAACCAAACATTTGATGGAGCTGTTCTGTGTTGATCTGATGAGGTGAGAAACTTGATGTTGAAACTTTTATTTTCGGAGGTAAACTTCTGAATTCAGCATTTCTTGATTTGTATTCAGATGATATGGAAATATTATCGGAATCTAATAATTTCTTCAGATCAGTAATACTCTGTTTTACATCAGAATTTATCATTTGAAATTGATTTTCCTGTTCATTTAGAATAGCCAGGTGTTTTATTTTCATCTCATTAATTTCAGATTTTAAATTGTGTTCAATCACGTTAATTTCTCTGTGCAATTCATCTCCTTGTTTGGTGACAGCTGTTTTAAGTTCCTCATAATGTTTCTCAATCTTTTCTTTTTCATGGTTTAAACCTGATGCAATTTCTTCATATGTTGGATAAATCCTTTTCTCTAGTTCTTTCAAGTCTTTTTGTAAATCTTTAAGTTTAAACTTAAGTTTTTGTAGGGCATCTGATAAATCATGTCCTTTGTGATTACCTGACGAAAGACAAATCGAACACACATAAAGGACACATCTCTCACAGTAAAGTTCACAATGTTTTTGTGTATGGTTTGGACACTTTGGATAGTTAGGGGCAGAAGGCTTTTGTCTATATGGAACAACATTATGTCTTTTTGATGAATCTGAGAGATGTTTTCCAACACAGTTAATGCAAATATTTACAAGACAAAGTTCACAATAACTCTGTAATGCACCTTCTCGACACAGATCACAAAGAAGAATGTCTTGGGCACTAAACTTGGGGTCCATAGGTATTTTGGTCACATGATAAAGGTGATGCTGTGAAAGAAATAACAGAGAATCATTGTAAATTATGAGATATTTTAACATCAAAGTAATTCTTTAGTACAGGATTTGGGCAAGATAGGGGATGTCAGTGTTAATTTCAAAATGTACGTATACATAATGAATCTTTTCTTGAACAGCAAAACATTAATTATTCATTATAAATTATTATCCTTAGGCAATATAGATTCAGTCATGACCTCTGGAGGTATAGCAGGGTCACAACAAGCAATTCAAAGAGTTACTACAGAAATAATTATTCTTATTAAAACACCCTAGTCATTATTAGTCATTGTAATATTATAATAGAAGTATCCTCGGGTAATTTAGATTCAAGTTTGTTTAAATACTTCCTCTCCTCTGGGTAGAGAGGAACTCAACAGTGGGTCAAGGTTAACATAAGAATATAAAGATGTAATGGGTCTGGCAAGAAGCATTTGAGTAACGAGGATTAAAAAACTTCAAATAGTGCAATCCTTAAAATGGACTCTGAAAAGGGTATATAATGCAAGGCTTGGGGAGACATCGGGCATTCAAGGTTCCTCATCAGGAAGGCACATGTTGAATCAATAAATAACGATTTTTTTTTAACTCATACTTGTTAAATCATTTTGTGTTGCAATTTGTTTTCATTACCCCGGAAATATCAAGGAATTCAGCATGTGATGGACACTTTCTTTAAAAAAAAAAAGGATGAAAACCGAAAGGGTTAGAGCAAAATTTAAAATATTGGAAATTGGTATTAAGTTCTGAGTGAAGTTTTAATTGAAAAAATTGTAAGACAACTGGTTCTTATCTTTCAGTTGGAACCTAGAGGGAAATAAGGTGCAAATAGGACGTTACCAAATCCCAATCTTAAGATTAGAGAAAAATTAAGAACATAGTGTATTATGTACATTTACCACCAGGCAGAACTTTTCTTCCTTCTGATTAGATGTTCTATTCATTCATACAGAGTAAAAGGAAAATCTGTGCATCCCTTATAAGAACCTGATTTATGCATGCTATGTTTTGCCAAAAAATAAATGAAATTAGTCTTTTTTTATACATATTTTAAGTACATTCTAGTTTTTTTGTGTTGCCTGCGGAGCAGAGCGGCGTTAAGCGATAACTCTTCCCGGTGTCTGTCTGTAATGTGCAACTTTTTAAATAGAGAAATTCTCAAAAAAGGATTTGTTACATAGAAATATAAAAACTCAAAGTTTATCTAGAATCTATCCTGTTAATTCAAGATGGCCTCCCTCTCTACTGGATGTTTACTTGTAATAAACTTCCTTATCTTGTCTATAACTGTTGCGAGGCCACGTGATTTAAATACCTCTCAAAACATGCAAATAATAGCCTTGACATGGATTCGATTCTGATATAGAAAGTGTAACCTGTTCCTTTAGAAATCAATAACTGCCAGATTATAAAGTGTTGGATGCTGTTGTTTATATGATAATGTTTGGTTAACTTTTATTTACATAAAATTTGAAGATTTTGGAATGTATAGATCAATCAACCATTAAAAAAACAATAACAATTTACAAATGGATTAACAAATAATAAAATTACAATAATTCCAACCCAGAACGATCTCAATTCCATAGATCAACATGAATTAGATGAAACAAAAATTGCATCTACTTCGCAATGTCTGTCTTAACTCTGATTACTTTAATACTTTTTCTCTATCGCATTTATACACATTCAGCAAGTTGAAATTTAAAATATTTGATTTCATTCACTATTTTTAATATAAGTTTATAGGAAAAGGGTTTAATTACAGTTTATTGGTGTTAAATATACTCTTAAAATATCAGATTTAAAAAATCAAGCACAGATCTCTGATTACATCCTTCCTACACTCTTCTCAGACAGTATCTCTGAATGGAATAAAAGAAAGGTTTCCCAACTTAATAGACAAACTTTGACTATATTTTGCTTACTGAATAAATTTAAAAAAAAAAACACCATTATTTATAAATAGAATAATCAATAAACCTACCTTAACCCATAGTTTTTTTACCCTGTGACGTCTCACCTGTTTAGCCTGCTGTCTCTCTGACCTATTGACTCTGTGACCCCTCACCTGGTAAGCCTGCTGTCACTCGACTTTTTAACCATGTGACCCCTCAGCTGTTTAGCCTGCTTCTCTGACCTTTTGACCTTGTGACCCCTAACCTGTTTAGCCTGCTGTCTCTCTGACCTTTTGACCTGTGACCCCTCACCTCTTTAGCCTGCTGTCTCTCCTTTGTGACCTCCTCCACGCCGATTGACTTCCACTGAGCCGTGATAAGTTTGAAAACGTCCCCGTCACCGCTCAGGATCTGTATCAGCTTGGGATTTTGGGATAGATGTGCAATCATGCGTAACTCAAACTGAGAATAGTCAGCCGCCACTTGACTTAAAAAAATAATTTTGTTATTTGACAATCATTCTCATTATAACTTTAAATAATTCAAAGAAATTCACCATTTGTTTACAATGAAATGAACTTACATTCAAATTATCTCTTATAAGTTTGTAGAACGTTACAATTATTTCATTATAAATGGCAGGTAAGAGGTAATCAACATTTTTCAATTCACCATATGTATTAAAATTGCATATAGGTCAGTCAAAGTAATGTCACATATGTAGATTCTTAAATATACGAGTATGCGTGAAATTAATTATCGCGAAATAAAATTACTTATCTTTATTTTCATTGTGCTTAAATCTATGTAAAATCTCCTGTTCAACCGTCTTTTCATGAATTATTACTCAAGCGATTTGATGTTGAAGAACCCATTTGCGATAATAAATACTCCCGTAAAAATAGAAATAAAGAATCTACAATATCCATTCAATATCTTAAGCTCACTCTAAGTCAACTTTTATCTTTGGTCTTTCAGAAAACTAAAACTGATCAAAACCAAATAAATTGGCCTTACTAATACTGGGATTACTGTATTCCTAATACATAAATTATATTAATACATTAATTAATGTTACCTGGAAAAGGGATGAAGGCGTGTCTCATGCTCATTGAATGAATGAAAGATCAGCTGACATCTGAAGAACTCTGGTTCGGTTCCTTATAGAGTTACGGGTTCCGCCTACAGGACTAGCACACTCCATCTGTTTGTCCAACTTTTTTGAAACTGTTTAATAGTCATATACTGTCAGATTCAATGTAATTTTACAATCCAAATTTTACACAAACGAAAATCTTTTATAAATTTTAGACTCTGCCAATACACTCTATTTTTTCATAATTATACAGAGAGAACTATGACATGTGGTACACAGAGCAGAGCCGGAGATCTGGAAATCTTTTGGGGCAATCTGTAGTTAGGTTTAGACAAACTGACTGATTATTCTTTTTCTAATCATACATATGCCAGTCTCCATTTGAAATTTCTTGTAATTTATGAAGACAGTCGAACATGATGTTGAACAAAACTAATGATTTATAAATCAACCACAGAGACCGCTATCAGTAAGATGCTTTCTTTTTATATGTAAAAATAACTTTCCTTATGAAGTAAAAGATAAATAAAACTGAACAAGGTCCTAACCGAATCCATTCATCTACATACGAGACAGAGTCATGACAGCTGGCATTTCGATGTCGTGGAAGGCAGACATCAGGTTCTCTTTGGTCAGACAGAAAGAAAGGTACTGCATTAAGTGGGTCAGTAAGACAGCCTCGGTACAGGCCCGCAGTCGATCCGTCCCAGGGTTCTCTGGGGACATTCCTAGACTCCCATAGACCACCCCACCTCCAATACCTACAGGGAAAACTAAAAGAGTATTCTGCCTATTTTGTGTTCATATATTTAGGCTCATAATGAAATCTATTATAAGTATTAGGCCTTAAAACATTCTTTTGATAAAATCTGCGAACTAGTTTCAAAAACTAAGAATGAAAATCCATGTATAAAATTTCCTAACTGTATGCTGTGTTTTATTTTTTCTTTGCATCAAATTTAGATACAATTGACTTTTTTGATATAAAGGCTTTCTACAATAACTGCTTGATTGTTTTATATATTAACCATATAGGAGAAATGCCTCTAAAGGGGGGTAATCATGGACCATGCGATGAAGATTCTTCTATTTGGTCCCTGGGTCCATTATCAAGCTGGCTACTTTCGGGTCCTGAAACTTTCCCTGGCAACATACACAGCAGCCCCTCTCTAGCGCCCCATAACAGGACTTGGTATCAATTTCTGTCTTGTTCTTCTAGTGACTGCTTACGCACTGAGAGGGATTTATCAAGATCAGAAGATGAGAGGTCAGGGTCATCGTCATCTGTAAAAAAAATAATGTAAATCTAAATATTATTTTTCCCAGACAGTGTATAGATTTAAGCATCTGCAAGTGACTGATGCTCTATTAACTTAGTCATAATAAAAAATACTATAAACATGAGGTCTTTTCAATCGCATTTTTTTTCGGGCCTCTCAGACTAGCAGAAAACCAACCTCGAGGGGCATTATGTAAAAGCCATGACAATCCCATTTTTCACAAAATTGCAAGACATCTTATCTGTAGAGTATGGACTTTAACTTTATTGAATTTAAAGATATTACCTAAAATATACTATAGAGGGGACCTTAAACTATGAGGCGACGTTTTGGTATTTACTGTCAAAAAGAGATATCACCTATTCGAATAGGTGATCTCACTTATTCGAATAAGTGATATCACCTATTCGAATAGGTGATATCACCTATTCAGCTTTGAATAGGTGATATCACCTATTCGAATAAGTGATATCACCTATTCGATTTGCATTGGTGATAGCACCTATTCGAATAGGTGATATCACTTATTCGTGCTGAATTTACTTATTTGATGTCACCTATTCGAATAGGTGATATCACTTTTTGGCAGTAAATACTAAAACGGCGCCCCATATTAAACTCCGTTTTGTGGTATTTAGTTAAACGTGATTTTTAATCCATCCGATGATGTTTATGCATTCAAGGTTGTTATAAAACCTAAGACAATGCAATTGGTGGT